CTGAGCTCACTCATGGCCAACTCTGCTCCCCTGGAGCAGCTCGGGCAGCAGCTGCCTCCACACACGTGTGTTCCATCTGGCTCTGGAGCCTTGCTGAAGAACTTAGGGCTGAGCAGGGTGAGATGATGCAGAGAGGATGCTCTCTCTGCCTGTCCTCCTGGCACACACACCTTGAGGTTCCTGCCCCGAGTCCCACAGATTTCCCAGCCCAGAACAAGTGGAGATCTCCCAGAAAAATTCAATAAATGGCATTCCTCCAGTAACAAATATGCCAGCAGAGAAATGCAAATCCATCCTTCTGTAGACATGGCTTTTGTGTTTGAGGGGCTGCAGGAGGGAGATTCCAAAGGGATTTATGCACCTGGCAGGTTGGGAATCTCTCCTGAGCCCTGATTTCCCACCTGTGAAATGGGCTGAATGACACCCAGCCAGCCTTGTAGAGGGCTTTGCTTTTCATCAATCTACTTCCCTGTCTAGGAGTCAGGTCTCACCTACTCCACCCTCACCCTACACTGCTGTGGGGCCTCAGGACACTCACTCTGAACAGAGACATCCATTCATCCACTGGGAGTCTGGCAGTACCATGGAAGCAACCTCTGACACACGCTGGTACCAACCTTGGGCACTGTGCACCAGAAGCATGACTTCAGCACACAGAGAGTCCTGCCCAAACTTCATTTCTGTCAGTCCCTCCTCAGTTTACTTTCCAATTATCTCTGCACTTCCCACTGAAAGGCAGGACACAGTTTAAGGAACTTGAGCAATTTTTTCAAACTTGAATGGTCTCTACCCAAAGGGAGCCAGAAGGAAGCTCATGCACTCAAACACACCCCAAGAGTCTCAGTCCTCAGACAATACCCTGTGAAGTGGGAGCTTTAGTTTTTCTTCATTAGCAGACTGAAAGTCCATCAAATATAGCAGGGCACCAGCCTCTCCCTGGCCATTCTCTACTTGAGACTTGTTCTACCTTTTCAAAAGCTCTTTTCAGTTACACAATCAAAAAATTCTTTAAGGACTACATCTAGAACATCTCTAAAAATTGTTTGTACTTTCCCTGAGAGCTCACATCTACTTATTGGATGGAGGAGCCAAGAGGAGAGAACAAATATTTCATGGAACAGACATTGCACATAAATATTGTCCCTGACACAGATGTGCTGTGAATACAACTGCATCCTCACATCAATTACACTCCAAAAGCTACATGTGTAGAAGTCAAATAAATAAATAAATGTAAGCTTGAAATAAAAAACTATTTAAATTTCTAGCAAGCTGCTTTACCTTATAACCATTCTTCCTTGTGACACGTGCTGGTTTCTATTCTAATAACACATTCATGTACCTGCACAGGTACAAGGGATGTGTACAAATCACATCTTGCAAAACAACCGTTGGCAAAGAGTGGGATTTGAGTATTCATTATTCACTGCTCAACAGTTACATACATTTTAATTCTGACCTCAAAACATAATTTGGACCATGGCAGATGTTTCCTACAGCACAGGCTGGTTTTGGATAAGAGTTAATTCAGTTTGAACATGGCAGCAATGAAGAAAGGGATTTAAACATTTTCTGCTCATTCTCCAAGCTTAATGCTGCAGAGGTAAGAATGAGGGAGGACTAAATTGAATGGGTGAATTTGCCTCTCTCAGCCTCAGCTCTGGATCCAGCCCAGGCGGGTGAGGCTGTGCCTCCCTGTCACCTCTGTGACATCAGCCTGCGTCAAAAAGAAATTAAATTATTTTAATGAGGTTCTGCTGAATGCACACTGGTGGAACAAAGAGAATAACCTCTAGTTTTAAGCTGCTAAATTTTCATCAGAAGAAGGGGACATACTCCTCTTCAAAACTCTTCCTTCTCTCCCCTTGTTACCCTGAGCAGCTCCCTCCTGCTATTTGACATTAATAAGTAGATCATTACTCCACCAGCTGCACTTTAAAATCTTCTGTAAGGTAAGATCCAATTGCAACTTTACATCCACATAGTTGCCCACTCTGAAGGGCCCTGAAATGCTCTTAAGGAGTTGTGTGCACAGGGATCGGCTCTTCACACATCAGCGGAACAGGCTTGGGAAGCGACAGCTGCTTCCACAGTGCACAGGCAGTGGAGCAGTTTAAGGGGAAGAGAAATGGTATAAATAATTGAAATCACAGCAAGAAATGTAGGCAGAGCAGAGGGAAGGAGGGCAACTCCAAAGAAGCTGGCAGCAGGAGAAGAAATAAGGACTTCTCCTGAAAGCCAAACTAAACACGAGTGCACGTACAAAATCCACACCTTCTTGCCGATGTGCTACGCCACACACCAGCAGACTAAAGAATTTCTTGACCTTTCCTGCACTGGCTGGCAGTGATCTGAATTCTACCCACCTACAAGCTTTCTCTTGTCAACATCTTCCCTTTCCTCCTCTCCATGAAACACTGAAGTCTGATGCAAATGACCCCCACGTACATCCCAGCACTGCAGTGACCTTGGTAACCAAGCAATGCTGATGAGTCAATGTGGATTTCAAATTCTGCCACTGACAACCACCTCACTCACAGGGACTCACTCCTCCTGGCCCAGCCTTTCATGGTGAAGCTCTCTGGGAGGGTTCCCAGGGCACCCAGGACATTTAGGGCACACTAGAGAGGATCCTGGTCCCAGCTGGGGCCTCTGAGCACCATCAGGGGTACCTGCAGAAATGGCAACCTTTGGTTACCAGGCTTGCAGAACAGCTAACCAGCACTCTGGAACAACAGACAAACGCTGAAAATTTCAATCCCAGGAGTAAAACAACTCCTTTGATGACCACAGCTGCTACCAACGACTAAAGGTTGTAATTTTGCTTGACCTTTAACTATTACAGCAATACTCGTTGGCCTGCATTTTAGAAGTTAGGAACAGACAGCACGACCTAGGCTAAGCAATCTGCCACTGTCTTGACAGATTTCCAAAGAGACATGAAGTATCTGCCTTTCTGTGTGTGTGCATCGTGCAAATCACTTGAGAGCTGTGCAGACATCTGGAAAAAAACACAGTTTCTCTCTGGGTAGCGCTCACCCAAGCAGGAGATGGCAGGAGATCATTTATAATGCTCTGTGGAGGTAACACTTGGCATAACAGCTCCAGGAACTTCTCCATCACAACACTGGGTTGAAGAAAGGACACTTCAATTAGCAACTCAGCTAACCAGACACCTTTAACGGAGCAAGTAATGAGATTTCTTAATGAGTGCTTCATCTGAAGGGTGTGCAGTGATACCAAGACCCAGGTGAAAATGCCCATCAAGATCTCTGTGCAAGTCACAAGTGTGTAGGATGGATATCTTATTTGAAGCAGCAATCAATTGATTTTAAGGAATCAGCTGTCGGACTTTGCCAGACTCCTCTTGCAGAATGTCAGGCAAAAATTTTTAGGCAAAAAGCCTGCATCAGGCATCACTGTTAAAGTTGAGCCCTGCACCAAGAGTCACAGGGCACACTACTGTGATCAGAAGGTGAAGAAATCTTGATACTGACTCTTCTGTGTGAGCATTTCAGTTTAAGAGTTGCTGTTCAAGAATCATGTCACCAAAACAAAAAATGACCACATTTTTTAAACATAACCCATTTCCTAAAGAGCCTTCCAGAGGCTGCAAGGATCCCACGTATCCTTTTCTCCACACACACACCCTGCTTGGCAAGTGCCTTATCAGGGTGTGCCCAGCTGCACATCACACCCTTGTGCAGCCTACCTGCCCCAAACCCAGGCATGGAAAGGCTGAGCTTCATGTGCCTCTAAGGACATCCTCCAGATGGGACAGGTAAGTGACAGCTCACGGTGGTGTCAGCAGCAATTCTGCTGTCAAGAGCAGCTTACAGCTCACAGCAAGAAGAGACACACCAACTCCTTGGATTTCAGCACAAAACTGGCTCTTCTAACCTCTGCCACGCGAGGGAGATTGGAAACCCAAGTCCACCTTGGACGGGACAGAATTTCCCCTTTGACTTCTCACTGAGAACAAGAAAGTCCTTCTGTACTTCTAGAGACAACTGAGCTTTACAAGGCTGCCACGCCAGCAAGTAAAGATGGGAGCCTTGTGGTTTCAGAGGGGCTGCTACTGAGAAGCTGCATTTGGGCACTCTCCAAATGAATGATGGGACTCTTTCCCTGACAAAAGAGCCATGAACAGCATCTGTCCTCTGGAGAGCAAAGGAATGGTGCCAACTGCCAATCCTTCTCTTCCAGCTGGAGGACAGCTCGTGGGCAGCCGTCTCCAGCTGAGAGTCTCCAGACTGCTCCCATTGTGGGACACACAGCCTGGCTCAGCACAAGATGCTGCAGCCAGCTCAGACATGCCTCAGCTCACTTGGGGAACACTTGATGTGAGGCTGGAGAGAAATGGCTCTCTGACAGCTGGAAAATGCAGTTGACTGAGCTGCTGGGGGATAATAAAAGATCAGCCACTTCCTAGAGGTGCTTTTCTGTCACCCACATTCATAGAGGTGCATTTGTGCCACCCTTTTCTCTGACCATGGGGTCTCAGATAACAAGGTTTCTGTAGTGCAAAGCTTTGAACGCTTTTAACTGAGCCAACCCCATCCAAATGTCAAGGTCTCAGTCATTACAAAACTGCTCCTTTCTCTTTCTGCCATCCTCCATTCCATCCATGGGGTGTCCATTAGATTCAAACACAAAGAGCCTACAAGAAGAGCCTCATTAGCTGACTGTACAACTGGATTTGTTTTGCAGCACAGCGCCGTCCCCCACACCGCAAGGCAGAGCTCATGATGGGGGAAAAAAAATGGATCAATTTAAAAAATATCTTGCACACCTAAATGTTACATGCAGCTCTTCTGTCAGACTTAAAACAACAGCACTACCAGCTATAAAACAGGGGAAAAAAAACCCCAGGAAGTCTCTCAAAACAGCAGACCAAATGAAAGGAGAAAAAGATGAAGGAGGTTTCAAATCTGCCCTGGAGAGAATGTGTGTCACAGCTTTAACCTGCTGTGGGGAGGGGGAAAAAAGGAAACAGGGCAGCAGAGACCAGAAATCAGATTTATTATGACCAACCAGGTAAATAAAAGATAGATGATCACCAAGAGAGGATGGCTGTGTTGGAATCAGCCAGCCTCTGAAAATGTCTAGTCAGCTTTAGCATTTGATACACATGAAATTGGTGTCCACACAAGAGTATTCTCCTGAAAGAATGGGATTTAATGCAGTCAAGATGATTATCTAGATCCTTCTTTATCCCATTAGTGGTTTTCATTCGCATCCTGGAACACCATAAGCGGATTGTTCAAGAATTATTTGCCATCCGCTGTTTCAATCCCGATTGGAATTATCTTTATACCTCGGTATGAAGAAAAGAGATTACATCCCTGCCAGGGCTAGCTGGAATGCCCTCTTTTCTGAGACTCCCTTCATCGTTCTTGTTCTATAAGGTGCTGAAAAGAATTAGAAAATAATTGTCACAGACATGATTTTGCCCTCTCCTCCTCTTCCTTCCCTGCATATGTGTTTGGGAAGAGGAGGAGGAGATGCTCTTCCCACCACATCCCCTGCAGGAGATGCATCACTGCACCTGTAGAGAGATGAAGCTCAGCAAGACTTACTCATCAAATTACCCAGGACAGGATCCAAAAACGCTCCCAGCTTCCTTTTGCACCACGATCCACTAATAAAAGAACAAGGATGAAACTGTTAAAACCAATTAAACATATCAGTTGATGCATGAGCAGGAAGTGGGATTCAGTGCACTGGAGATCCCAGGGGCGTATGCCAAACGTCGCCTCTCGTGCTCTCTAGCAATGTATGTCACTGTGCAAGCTCTGGTGGAGATCAGGCCAACGTCACTCAAACAGACAACACAACCCCTTGCCTCAAGGCCTAGAATAACAAGAAGACAAAATTCCCCTCCCAGCCACTCTAATTGCCTGCCAGATTTTGTATTAATGAAAGAATTACATCTCCATCCAGGTATGGCAAGGACACAGCTCGTCTCCTCATGGGCAGCCGTGACTCTGACCAGCAGTGAGGAAAGATGCCTGGATACCACAAAAACCATCCCTTCTCCTTAAGGAACATGAAGGAGGTAGGTATTCAGACCCGACATGAATAGGAATGCATGTATTTTTTAAAGAATCATGTTTTATGGCTGTGTAATGAGATCTGTAGGAGAGGTATCTCTATAAACAAGTTATTAAAAGGGGGAGGAGGAACACAATAATAGCAGGTGCCAATTACTCAGCTCCCAGCAGAGACTTTTCAATTTCTCACCTTCCCCCAAAGCAAGATGTGCCACTGTATGGCACCACATTCACTTGCAAGTGTGAGACCCTTCAGAGTGTGGCTTCTCTCCCCCCTGGCAGAGCTCCACTGCCACCAGAGCGGAGCCGCCCCTCACCCCACCAGCCCTGCGCCAGAGCTGGGGCCAACACACCATTAAATTAATCTGGAAACTGAATGCAACCATATTTTTATTTGACTTCAGAAACTGGCCACTCCTCCCATCAAGAGGAACAGTGAATTTGTGAGCCGACTGCAACTGCCAGGTTTGCATCTCTGCAAGTATCTGCTTCCTTCTGGGAACAAAACACCAGTAATGATTTTGTGATTTTAAGATGGCAGCGTTGTTTCAGACAGTAAATGTCCACACTGGAGCTGTCAGAGGGACCCCATCCTTTAAAGCAAGCACACCAAGGTAATGATTAACATTACAAAAGTAATTTGAACCTCTAAAATAATTGTTTTCAAAATCAGCAAATAATTACCAAGGCCTTCAGCAATCAATACCCAAGATAAATAGAAGATTAAATTGCAAAAGAAACAGAAGAAAGTACTTAATATTTGCCAAACACATGCCAAATACACTTTTTCATGGCAACCAAATACTTCCAGTAAATAGATATTTTAGCTCACTGGAGAGGCACTTTCAGAAAGTAATAAATTAATCCAATAAAACAGACAGACAGGGTGGAACCAGACATTAACGAAACACAAACTGATCTATACAGAGCCAACCCACAATCCATGTCCTAATTATGCTCATCCACCACTCTGAGTACTTACCTCCCCCACCCAGGTCAGCTCTTCAGCTCGGGGAAAATACATGTTTCATGTGGATTCACTGGCACAACAAAGTGGAGAATTTCAGCCATCAAATGACAAAGCTTGTGCTCAGCCAGAATTTGCATTTCCAGTTTTTTTCCTAAATACTTCTTGCTCCTCAAAGTTAGCAAACTAATCTCCTTTTAAACACAATTTTTGCTTTTCCATCAAGTTAGCTGAAGCTCTGTATGTGAAGTGCAGGAAGAGCTCCTGCTGCCCATCAGCTCCAGCTCATGTGATGCCTGTGGAAACATCCCCATGGCATATCCTCACTCTGGCATCGGGATGGTTTGTCCTGAGGGCTGTGCCTGGCCTCACCACCACTCCTGAGACCCAGCACCATCCCAAGCATCTAAATCCTCCCCAAGCAGTCTAAACCAGCTTCTACCCAAAATCACTGCTTGGTGTTAAGAAAGGCACGCTATTGGGTAAGCATCTGGTAAAGTTCTTCAAAAAGTGGATAACGTGAACTGGTCAAGATTAAGAGAGGGAAGACATGGGAAGATCTCCATCCTGGTCATTTTTTACAACATCAAAGGAAGAAGAAAGGGAGGAAACTGAGGGAAATAGAAGACAAAGGGAAAAGATATCAAAGCCAGCTCCAGAGAGCGCAATGAGAGGTGGCACAAGAAAGGAATAGTTAAAACATGAAAGGCGAGATCAAATAAAGTAAAAGCTCACAGTCTGGGCACAGAGCAGAGGGAGGGGAGACCACCCCAACACTTCTGCCAGCATTAACTGAATAATTTATCTGATAGGTACTTGCCTGTGGTTGACTCTGAGAGAGCTCAGCCACCGCCAGACCCATCCATTCACCCAGCAAAGGACACAGACAAACACTGCTCTTGTTTTTCATGTGGGCACACACCCTGGGGATGCTGCACAGCAGCTCTCCTCCCCTGACTGTCTTCTGGGGAGGAATGAAGAAATGTAGTTCTCCCTCAGAAATCCTCTCCAGCTTCTGTGTGAATTTCTTGGTACTGGCAGGGCTGGCCTCACTAGTACACTTGAACTAAACCACTACATGTTTTCACTATATAAAATATATATATACACAGATCTTTAAGGAGCTAATTTCTCAGGACTGGAAGGGTTTCTTTGATTATTTACAAGAGCTTGTAAACACAACCTTTTGGTACCACAGGCCTCCTCCCCAAGCCATGACATTCCTCAAAACACTGACAATACACAGAGGACTTACTGCCACATAAGTACAAGCAGTAAGTGACAAAAAGGGGTCTCTGAACCTTCCAGAAAGCTTTGGCATTGCAGCGAGAGAAGAAAAACCTAAGTGCTCTAAGGCAGACTTGAAAATGCAATCAGGATGGTCTAAAAACTCATTAGTCAACAGGTATGGACCAGGCAGCAGCACTGACATAAGCCAACACCTTGCTCTTCCTACAGTTCAGCATCCATCCCACTACCAACAGCTCCTAAACCACCAGTGGCAATTATAGCCACAAATAAATGGACACTGCAGCACAACAAAACTCATCATGAACATAAAAGACAGGTGGAGATTAATTTTTGCCCAGAAGTTTCTTTAATGCCTAATGATTTACATTTTAACGCTGCTGCTGTCCTCTTAAATATAAGCAGAAATTAAAATATCTTGCACAAGTCATTTTCGTGTGCATGTCTAGTCACTTCAAAATACAGATTAACCTTTAGGTAAGCATTTATTCTGTATGTAGCACAGGAGGGATGGAATATTTAACTACTGGCAAGGCAGGAGCAGGCAGGAGAGAGGACGGAGTTACAGAGCCATCCCTGTGCATCAGAGATGCATCCATGCTAATGCTCTGATCCTGGAGACTCAAATGTGACTTGACACTGGGACAAAAACAGAAGGAGAATTGGCCAGTGACACAATTAATGCAGAAAGAGATTATTTAATACAGGAATCTGCCACTCCCAGACTTTCCTGCTCTGCAAGGGAAGCCTGATGCAAGCTCAAAAATAAACCCAAGAAGGGCATTTGAATAAAAACTGACACTGAATAAAAAGCCCCCTATGCTGCAATTCAACTGAAAAAGGCAGAAAAAAATTTTTCCCCTCCATCAAAGACAACAATCCTGTGCCTGTATCAGGAAGCTGCTAAGCAGATACTTGATCAGCCCTCCCTGAAAAGCCTCTCCTCCTAACAATGCAAACCTGCCCATCCCCGCTGAAGCTCTTTGATTATTTTAATACTTTCCACAATCCTTTAATTTGCCCAGTGAGTTCTGCCACCACAGCAGCCCTCTTCACCCACCCAATCTCACACCCTCTTCATCTCTGTCTCATAAGAAAACTTGAACATTACAATTGGCACAAAAATGATATGGAAAATCTTCACCAGGAACATTAAGCATCATCTCTAAGTATTTTTAGGCAGGTGGCTCAGCCTCAAGAGTTTCCTTCCAAGTCCGGGTGACTGTGGATTCCTGTGCTGAGCCAGGCACCCCAGAATGGGTATTTGTTTGTGTTTCTTTATACCACAAACAGAAAAACTGGTCCTTTGGTGACTGGTTTGGGTTTTGTGAACAGGGAGAACCATGGATAATCCAAGCCCACATGCAGGAGTCTTGTCCATCTATTGCTAAAGCAATTTCTCCAGCACTTAGTGGCTTCAAGGCTTTCTGGAGATGACTGGCAGCTTCACTTAAACTAGCCAGCTATAGATGTGTTTTACATTAAACACTAAGTGAATAATCAATGAACATTCAGGATATAAGTACAAATCAATGATTTGTTTTAGATGAATCAAAGGGAATCGCAAATGAGTTTTGTTCTGCAACAGAAGTAAACCAAGAGAAGTACTTGATGTAATTGGGGGTGTGTGTGTGTTAACCTCCTCTGACTGCTCCTCTCCTACGTGCTGACACAGACCCTGCTGTCACAGAAGTGTGGCAGTGTCCTCCAAACCTCAGAGACAAGAGATGTCACTGTCCCCAGAGAGTAGATGGGAGCTGAGGCATGAAACCAGCCAGCTGAATTTTCCAAGACTGGGAGGGACACAGCACAGCAAGGCCACAACTCCAGGTCTGTGCTGAAGAGCACAGGTTAGGAGAGAGCCCTTGTAACTTCAACTCCATCACACAACCACAGCGCTTACTGTGGGAGCAGTGATGGGACACAGCAACTGCACACACAATACAGGTCAAGAGCCCCATTTAATGGCCTTAAAAAACCTGCAAATAAATAAAAAACAGTATACAGGTGACTCCAGACAATGAACTACTTATTATGATAAATGCATATCAACAGATTGCACAGTGCCTCTCGTTCTTGGGATGAATTTGTTCAAGTCACAGGTGCAATAATTTTGCAAATGCTGCCACATTCCAGCCACCAATTTCACACAATGTCTGCTGAGCACCACCCAGGCCATGCAAAGTCTCTCAGAAATGCTCCTGCACATTATTTTGTTCACCACACATTTTAATGACAGATTTCCAAGCTCCATGGTTCCATAGCCAGGTCCTTGCCTGCACCTCCTCAGCCCTCAGAAGCACTCCTGGTCTCCTGCTGGCGTCTCTCCTCCTGGGAAACGCTTGCAAGGGTTCCCGTGAAGCGATCCC